GCTGGGCTTGAATTTGATATCTTCCTTTATTTATTTATTTTTTGTGACATCGGGGATTGAACTCAGGCCCTTGCACTTTCCTGGCAAGTGCTTATTCTACTGAGCTATCTCCCTGGCCCTGGGCTTGAATTTGAGATCCATCAGCCTCAACCTCCCAGAGTGGTGGGATTACAGGAAGGCGCCACTGTGCCCAGTGAACTTATTGTTCTTGACTCTTCTCCTAGCTACTATGGCTCTGAGGAAGGTTGTGCAGAGTGTTGGGGACCCTGCCTCTCAGCTTACCGTGTGGCTATAGACTCAGCTTACTGTGGAGAGGGACCAACTGAACTAGGCTCTAAGTCCCAGAGAGTGGCATCCTCCCCTCCCTGGGCCAGCGCAGGAAGGTCTGCCAGCAGGTTCAAAATCTTGGCCTAAACTAAAGTTTAACCTCATCGAGCCAGGAACATAGCTCAGTGGCATAAGCACCTGCCTGGCAAAAGCAACATCCCAAGTTTGATCCCTGACACCACAAACATAAATAAATAAATAAATAAATCAAATATAAAATTTAACTTCAGCCTGAGCCTGCTGAGGGACCTGCTGAGACCCTCTGTTCTTCTGGCCATCCTGAGTCAGGGTCTAAAAGACAAGCTCTACCCAAGATGTCAGCTCCACCCAGGGGTCCCCCATGGAGGGTGAGCGATTTCTCCATCTTGCATGTTTCCCAGCAGATGTAATAAATTAATAAATTACAAGCATGGTGCTAACAATGACAGAAATGCATTCTCTTATAGTTCCAGAGACCAGAGTCCAAACCCAGGCTGTGGCAGTGTCAACACACCAGAGCTCTGGGCGCGAGGCCCTGTGTGTCCCGTTCCGGGTGGCTAGTGGCCATCTCTGATGCTCCCGGGACTGTGGGCCCCTTGCTCTCCTCACTGTTTCCTCAGGGCTATCTCCCATGCCTCTGTTTCCTCCTTGCAAGGACACCCCAGTGTTGGGTTCAAGGCTCCCTCAATGCAGGATGACCTTAATGACGCCTGCCGGCACTCTGGCTCCAAGGAAGACCACATTCTTTTTTTTTTTTTAATTTTTTATTTATTTATTTATTTTGTGTGTGTGTGGCCAGCTCAGCCCACCAGGTGACAGGGCTGGCTGGGTACTGGGGAATTGAACCGTGGTCCCTGTGCTTTGCTTGGATTAGCTTGTTCTAAGTAGGTGCTTTAGACCACTGAGCCATCTCACTAGCCCCGGAAGACTACATTCTGAGGGTCTGGTAAACTTGCTCCTTAAACTCACAATCCAACCTGCTATAAGGGTTTCCAATTTAATTCTTTCTCCCCCACTGTGTGGAGGTCAAACGCACTGCTTAGCACACGCTGAGCATACCCGGCACCACAGAGCTGTAGCCATGGGCTGGAGCTTCCAGTGATGGCAGAGACCCAGCCCACTCTTGGAGCACTTGAGTTCTAAGGAAAATTCCTTTTTTTTTTTGGTGGAACCAGAGATTGAATTCAGGCCCTTGCGCTTGCCAGGCAAGCATTTATTCTATTGAGCCATCTCCCCGGTCCCTAAGGAAAATTGCATCCCACCTTGTCTCTGTCTCTG